TCATGGCCTTATCGGTTGGATCTTCGCTCGCATACTGGAACTTGAGGCTCGGCTCTCCCACCTTGACTGGTATTAAGGCTTTGGCTCAATAGACCAAGGAAAATGGGGTGGCCCCGGTGCTAGATTTCGAAGTCGTACGGTATGCTCACAGGACTTCGGGCAGAATCTCCTTCCATTTCCCTTTTGCAGCGGTCAACCTCTTTTTCAGGTTTTGAAGTATGGTCTTGTTTGTTAATTCTGCATGCCCGTTCCCACTAGCGTGATAAGGCGTTGATAAAATTTTATAGATCTTGTGATCTTCAAAAAATTTATTCACCTTGCTCCAGATAAATTGCTTCCCATTGTCGCAAACGATCTCGGTCGGTATCTCAAATTGACATATTATGTAATCTCAAATAAAGTTAATGACTTCTTTCTCCCGGGCCTTTTCGAATGCTTGAGCCTCGACCCATTTGGTAAAATAATTGGTCATGAATAGTATGAATTGAACTTTACCCGGTGCCCATGGAAAGGGACCGACGATGTCCATTCCCCACTTGATAAATAGCCGCGGGGACAAAACCGACTAGAGCATCTCTCCCAGTTGAGGGATCATCGGGGCGTGTCTTTGGCAATCGTCACATTTCCGTATGAAGTCCTTCCCATCTTTCTCCATTTCAGTCCAGTAATAGCCGGCCCTAATTAGTTTCCGAACCAAAGATTCTGCATCAATGGTTCCCACAAGTGCTTTCGTGAACTTCTCTTACGGCGTATTTGGTCTTTCCCAATCCCAAGCATCAAGCTAGCGGGTCATCGAGGGTTCTCCTGAACAATGCCCCTTCGTCCAAGCTAAATGTGGCAGCCTTGGTGTGCAAGGCTCTTGACTCTTTGGGATCCGAAGGCAATTTTTCGGTCTTCAAGTTGTCTATGTATTTGTTCCTCCAATCCCAAGTTAAACTTATTGAGTTTACTTCAGCGTGGCCCTCTTCTATCACCGACTTCATTAGCTGCTCTACTATTCCCGAACTGAATTCATCGGCATTGATCGACGACCCCAAGTTAGCCAGTGCATCGGCCTCGCTGTTCTTATCTCGAGTTACGTGCTGCAGGGTCCATTCCCTGAATTGATACAGGGTTACCTGTAATTTGTCCAAGTACCTACGCATTCGTTCTTTTTTTACTTTGAACGTCCCGTTAACTTGATTTACCACAAGGAGGGAGTCGCACTTAGCTTCGATCACCTCGTCCCCAAGGCTTTTAGCCATTTCTAGAAACCTGCAATCAAGGGCTTATACTCGGCCTCGTTGTTAGTCAATTTCGCAGTTTTAATAGATTGCCTAATTACATTTCGCGTAATGGGTTTTAATACGATGCCGAGCCTGGACCCTTTAGCGTTCGAGGTACCATCCGTGAAAAGTGGCCAAATTCCCGAAGTGGTCCCCGAGGTTAATAGTAATTCCGTTTTGACTTCGGGTATTAAGTCCGACATAAAGTCAGCCACGAAGTCCGCCAAAATCTGAGATTTTATGGCGGCTCGGGGTCGATACTCGATGTCGTACCCGCTAATTTTCACGGCCCATTTGGCCAACTGGCGCGAGAGCTCGAGCTTGTGCATGATGTTCCTCAGCGTGTAAGAGGTAATGACACATATGGGGTGACATTGAAAGTACGATTTTAGCTTCTTAGAGGCGCTTAGCAAAGTGAGTGCCAATCTTTTTAGGTAAGGATACCTTGATTCGGCCTCGCCTAGAGTTCTACTGACATAGTAAATAGGTAATTGCATACCTTCTTCTTTCCAAACTAAGACTCCACTTACCGCTACCTCAGAAACCACCAAGTAGAGGTACAACTATCCGTTTGCATTTGGAGTGTGCAACAAGGGCGGACTAGATAGGTACCGTTTGAGTTCTTCCAAAGCTTGTTGGCATTCCGGGGTCCAGGAAATATTATTCTTCTTCTTTAAAAGTGAGAAAAATCGATGGCTTTTGTCAGAGGACCTGGAGATGAACCGGCCCAGGGTGGCTATTCCCCCGGTCAGTCTTTGAACAACCTTGATGTTGTCCACCATGGTGATGTCTTCTATGGCTTTGATTTTGTCGGGGTTGATCTCGGTCCCTCGATTAGATACTATGAACTTGAGGAATTTTCCCAATCCGACCCCGAATGCGCACTTCTCCGGGTTCAGCTTCATATTGTATTTCTTCTGTATATCGAAGGTCTCCTGCAAATGTTTCAAATGGTCCTCTGCTAAGGAATTTGACTAATATATCGTCAATATAAACTTCCATTAATTGTTCTATATGTTCTCCGAACATCCAGTTTACTAGGCATTGATGGGTGGCAACAGTGTTCTTTAACCCAAACGACATCACATTATAGCAGTAGGTGCCAAATTTAGTGATGAAAGAAGTCTTTCATTGATCACCCGGGTCCATCCGAATTTAGTTATACCCGGAATAGGCATCGAGAAAGCTGAGTCTCTCATGCCTAGCCATCGCACCGATCATCCGATCGATGTTAGGCATGTTAAGCATGCCCTAAGGATGACCAAAGGCAGATCCATCCCTTCAATCTGGAACCTTGACACGAACTCCCTAAGCATCTCATTATCTCTTTGTTTAACCTTGAAAAGGTCCGACTTTCTGGTCTCGACCTTGATGGCCCGGCATGGGCCTTCACGGAAGCATCTGCAAGCATAGCAAATGAGTTAACAGAAATTGGGGGTAAGTTGTGGTACCATATCATCGCTCATTTGGATAAATTCTCCCCAAACTTCTTTTAACACTGACTCGATTTCATCATCTTCCAAGTCGTTCCTCTTGATCGCGCATGTATAGGAGGTCACATGCTCGTTTGGATCCGTGGTTCTGTTATACTTGGGGATATTAGGCATACGAAACCTCTTTGGGATCGACTTCGGTGTTGCCCTTGGAGGAAAATGTTTCTGGATAAACTTCTTGGAATTCGGCCCCTTCAGTATCAAGGGTGCTCTCGGGGTTTGATCGACCTTGGAATTGTAAGTTTTCACCTTTTTGTCATTACCCTCAATTTCTTATCACCTGACTCCACCCGCTTCATTAATGCTTCAAGCATTTTTATTATTCAAGGTTGACACTGAGCTCAGCTTCACCTGGTCTCTCGGTGACTCGTTCGTTTCTTTGGGAGCTTTCCCAGGATTGTTCGGGTTCGACCCTGTTGGGGGCATGGCCTTGATTCTGTAGCTGCGCAATTGCCACCTGTTGAGCCTGCAACATTTCGAAGATTAGCCGCAGACTTACCTCATCACCTTCCTCTTCGGGCACTTCTCGAGTTGTTGGTCGGGGTCCCCCTCGAACACTATTTTCGGGATCAGTTGGCAGATTGACGTCGATGGACACTTGTGAGTTAGCATCGACCGGATCGACAACTGGAACACCATTTGGATTAGCAGGAGGCACCTCGTTGCTAGGCACCAAATTGTTATTTTCGCCATGATGGCCAGACTCAGCGTCAACGCTCAAATGGGCAGACTGAGTATTCGACATTTTTAAGCTGACCTGAAATTAAGACTTTAAAGAATAAGCGTAAAATAGAGTATGTTATGGATATTTGTATCAAATCACCACTACTATCCTTAGCCCCACGGTGGGCGCCAAACTGTTTACCCTAAAATCGGATAACAATTAAATTTATACGTAATTTTAAAAATATGTAGATTTATTCAACACAAATAATTAGGAATATTAGACAAACGAGTTAAAGACAAAATGAATGATTAAACCCAGTCGTAATATTACAGCCCAGCCCGAGCCCGAATTGAACAGTAGTTTTACCCTTGATCGGACCCTTGGTTCAAAGCCAATTGCGAATGAAGAACAAACAGTGAAGTAACAACTTTTTCAATAGTTAGAAAGCATAAATGAATTTGTATTGCCTTGATTTGCGTGTTACCATCCCCTTATCAAAGAAAAGCGTCCCCTTATATAGCAAGAGGGTTTCACCCTATACAAATCTAAAAAAGGTAAAAATCTTCCTTTCTCATTAATTACTAATCTGTAACTGACATCGAACGAGATTCGCGCTGTGATATCCGGTTGGTTGCGAATATCACGGCCCTCTATCTGTCGTGCATAACCGTTCATTGTGCTTTCCGAGGTCGTAGAACTCGTCCCGAGTCCGGAGTGCGTCGTTTTATCATGCCCGATGGCGAGCACGTCGTTCACTTTTCACGGGCCTCGATACAAAAGGTTCCCAGCTTCGATTTCGATCTCGTATGTTCATGCCCTCATTCGGCTTTATTCACCGGGAAATCGGGGTGCGCGTTATCCCCGATTTTACCCGTATACAATATAGGATAAACAACATTACTAAATCGTGATGTTAAATAAGGTCCTTGATCAAAAGATTTAAAATGCCGAAAGTATTCTAAATTTTACATATTTCAGCATTTCATGTTAATATATAATCAAGGTTATAGAACCACTTGTATTTATTTGCAATAAATTAAACGGACCCAGGTGGGAAACCAACAACAAAAAAAGTACATATACTAGAAAAACAAAATATAAGAAGTACATATACTAGAATGACCGAAGAGTTTTGCCTTGACATATCAAAATCGATTTAATTCCACGCCTAAGGTTGCATGAAACTAATATTAATTATTTCCTTTGATCTGAAACAAACGTATAAGGTAGTGGTTGTAGTCTGTATTTTTCTTATGCCACCTAATGTAATGGTATTTTGGCTAATAGCAAACTTTGGCGGTAGCGAGATTCTTTATGTGCCGGTTCTTACATTTTTGTAGAAATATATACATTTTTGTTGATTAGTTTTTGTTTTCTAATTTCAAATTGAATGTCTGGTAGACTATTTCCAGTAATGCTAAGTTTTATGGTGCAAATGGAAGTACTAAACATTATAGTATTAGTTATACAAAATTTCGTTTTTTGGGACCATTTTTGTTCTTGTAGAGCCAACCAAACGATCCGTAAACGTACAAACTTATGTACTAGACAGCCTCTCTTACTAGCAACCATTGATTGCTTGAAACAAACACTTTAGAAAAGCTTTAAAGAAATGAATATGAAAGCATTCACCACAAAGCCAGAAAATGGCCTGGGTTTATTGGTTCATATGGCAAGAGCAATTAAGAAAAAAGTTCAAGAATAGAGAAAAAGATAACAGGAAAAATGAATTGCAGGAATCCACAAACCAACCCCAGATGAATTTGTACACGCGGAACTTTTTCAGCTTCCCAAATCTAGGTTGGATATCTAAAATTCTGAAACTAAGATGGCTTTTTCGACGACTCTGACGGAGCTGCTGTAGCCTTACAGATCGGGCACCAGTTCTTGAGCCTAAACCACTGTGTTATGCACTCCAAATGATACCCGTGCTCGCATCCCAACTTCCCTATTTCATCTCCAATCACATACTCCTCCTGCAAAACATAGATTGTCAGAGTGTTCATTTGGACTGAGATGAGCTTAAATAGAGCAACATGGTCAGTAAGGATTCCTATAGCCGACCCCAACTTGTTGAGGATTCATATATCAGCTATGTCTCACACAGGATATAGGATGCTACAAGCTTGGAACTGTCGACACAATGGTTAGAGCTGCCTAAATTACGCTCTCAAAAAGTCAATGGATCCCAACGTTGAAAGATCAGAAGCATTAACAAGAGTTTGAGATTTCATCTTTCAAACGCCAGTACGAAGTTCTATGAAATGTCTTGGAGATCAATGATAGGATTCTTTTGAAGAAATTCACCAGCTTTAAAGCTTTAATAAGGTCCTCAAAGAATAAACTACGTAAGTTAGTCGAGGTACGCACAAGCTGGCTCGGACACCATGGTTTAAAAAAAAAAAAAAAAAAAGAATTAACTAGTAAGCACGAGAAAAGTTAAGGAAGAATTAGAAGAGACAACTACTTGGCTTTTTAAATAGAGATCAAAAGCAAAAAATTCACTGGCACTGTTTTAGGAATAGGATAAAAAACAAGAGCATCTCAATTTTCCAGACCCCACTTGTGGGATTTCAATGGGTTTGTTGTGGTTGTTTTAGAAGGAATTTGACAAGGTAACATAGAATCTTACTTGACTAAACCTGCCTAACCAAAAAAGATAGACGCGCGTTATCTAATAACTCGGCCTCACTCCACTTGAAAAGATATGTCATAGGCAAAGGAATATGCAATCCCATAAATCTCGAAAATGGAAAAGCAAACCTTCAAATAATGAACTAAATAGCAAACATGTTTAAAGTAGGAAGAAGACCTGACAAATACTGCACTTGATGTCATCTCCATCCCCATCAGCTTCATATGTTTCTGTTTTTGAAGCCATACCTTGATAAGTGCTTTTCCGGAGGCACTTTGATAGTGCTTCCTCGGGCAGAGCTGTACTAACAGAGCCAATCCTCTCCTCAAGAGCTAATAATTCCTGTTAAACAAGTAATAAATCATTTTTCAGACAATGTGGAAGATATCATGCTAGACAAGTAGGAACTATCTTCTCCAAAACCTGGAAAGCTATTGTTTCTTTGCCCAAGGAAAATTTTAATTGAGGTTTTCAGCTAAGAAAACTTCAGATGATAACCCTCGATCATTCTTGCAAAAAAAATATACTGTTGAACATTTAGTCATAAACTATTTTCCATTCTCTCCATGGGATTCACGAGGACTAAGTTTCTAAAATCTTGATTTGATTTAGGATATGGATTTTTCATATTTTGAAGATATATTTTAAAACTAATAACGAGTACTATAGAAATTAATAAGATTATCAAGTGTTTTGAGGAAGTCATAGTCGAAGAAACTGTTGTATCACTCTTTAAATAGTAATAGTGTCTTATAAGTTGTGAGAAGAAATAGAAACAAAATACCGACCTCATAGGACATGTCATCGATATCTAATCTCATCCCTCTGTGCTGGTCATAGAAGTTAAGGCCGCTGAGGAACAAATTGGTCTCCAACGCAAGCAGTCTCTGTAGATAGAAAACAAGAGCTTATTCACAAACCCAAATAGGAAATTCCTAGGTGTAGAGAAATAAATCAACACTGACTACCTCATATGATAACTCTTCATCTTGTTCAATTCTCTCAAGTGCCAGCAACACCTGCAAAGTAAAGCAAGACCAATATATTTAAATATCAGTAAGCTTTGGGAAGTAGATTAAATCTGAATTCCTCCAGGAAAGTACCTGCGCTACTCCATCCATGTTATATCGCTGCAATGCATCACGGTTCATAAATCTGTTAATGCCGACATCAGCAGAAGTGAAAGGCACTACACCAGGTAACTCATCATCATCATCGTCATCATCGTTTCTGGGTAAACTATAAGCACTAATTTCACTTGATGAAGAATCTGTGAAAAATTGACTGGACGAACTAGGATTATCTAGAGTTGGAGTTTCAGGCTGAGGTAAATTTTGGCTGGTCTGCAATGACTCCTGTAAAGAACCCCGCAACCTAGTATTCACATTCATTGACCTGCGGGTCCTAACTGATAGAGCACGATTACCCGCACCAAAATCCGAACTTCTATTATTCCTTGAATCAGAGATGAAGATTCTAGTAGCAGGACGAACGGCACGTCCTTCATTTGGTGATGCGCCACTCATTTTCTTCCCTTTAGATGATGAACTGCTTTCACCTTCAGCATTTCTCCTTTTTACTGTGTCCCTTCTACTAATACTTGATTCTGATGGTGAACAACTATATGGGAGGACATCCGATACAGAATTGCACTTCAGATTTCTCAACCTATATCCCTCTCCACTACTACTGCCGCCCCTTGTCCCAGCACTAATGGATTTAGATGATGAAGAAACAGAGGAATCCATTGGACTCTTTTGGTTGAAAGAACCATGCCTGTGACCAAATATTTTTCGAGGTCTACTGCTTGATGTTCCACTAGAGGAACCAATTTCTGCTAATATAACTTTGCTGGATCCAGTATCTTTTGCTGATGACTGCGTCTGTTTTAAAACTACTGGCTCTTCATGTAAGGAAATGGTATCTGATTGCTTATTCTCAATGTTAGACAACGATTTTCTATGAGATTCTTTGCATGACCTTCCCGCACTAGGCATTGTAGAAGATGTCATAGATGAACTGCCAACGACTTCCTTCCCATTTGAAGAACCGAAAGCAGGCCTTAACTGTCTGGCTTTCTCCATGCATCCAACTCTGGAACTCTTCATATAGTTGACTCGGCCAGTACATCCAACTCGAGTGCAATACTGGACATTTTTATCTTTGTTGTCAGCAGTCTCCCTCAAACCTCTTCTCGGGGCAACTAAGCCATTAGCAGTTCTTTTAGCAGAATATTCATCCATGTCTTACACGAAGCACCATTTATTTCTGTGTAAAGCATATAGTCTAAAATTAGTATTATCATTAAGGCCTAAAGGAAGTTTATCTATGCTCGAAGACATTTCTTTTGCAGCTACGACAACTCTTACAAGAGAACAGGTGATCTACAAAATAGACTTTTGGGTTTTACGTGATCAAGTTATCACAACAGACTTCTAAAGTAATCTCTAAAATTTCATGAATGATCAAGTTCAATTGTTCAAAGTATTGTTAGCAATTAGCTAAGAGAAACTTCACCTGACGTCAAGTAGACATCTGGCTGTTAGGTGATCAACAAGAAAAAGCTTCAAGCATATATAAATCTGAATTATAGCAGTTTGTTTTTATTCATAGCAGTTATGAGTTTAGATGACTAACACTCTCTCTGACTCATAATATCATCAAAACACCTTTCCTTAAGAGTTCTCTTTCAGAACTTATGAACCTTCTTAAGAGGGTAACTAATAGTACTAAGACAACCAAAAGCCAATTCATCTTTCTTTTTTTGTACATCTTTTTGCATATAAGCAAATCAAATTGGTAATTCACACATCTTTAGATCAACATATGACCTAAATTCTACGAAAACCCCATAGCTAAAACAACAACAACAACAACAAACCCAGTGTAATCCCACAGGCGGAGTCTGGGGAGGGTAATGTGTACGCAGACCTTACCCGTACCTTGTTAAGGCAGAGAGGTTGTTTCCGATAGACCCTCGGCTCAAGGAACAAAGACCCCATAGCTAAAACAATAAAAATGACAAGCATCATTTTACTAAAGCCCACTAGTGATGGAAGCTTATGTTCACCAGTTCCTTTTAAGAATATCTGATATGAGGATACTTGGCTGAAAATGAAAGAAATTAATGAAATCCAAGAAAGTAACATAAATAATAACCTAAAAGAATCATCCAAAAGAATTAACAAGAATACAGAAGGGACAAATAAGATCGCAGCATAGTAAAAAGGCCAATATTAACTCATGAAATTTGAACACTATCCCATAAATAACTTGAAACAAAAGCTATCACGAAGCTTCAAACAACAAAAGTAGATACCAAAATTATCATCAGAGACACGTAAAGTTTGTCAATCAATAAAAAAAATACTAAACACAGACAAAAACATATAATCCAAATAAAACTGATCAACAAGAAAACAATCAAAGTGGGAAGGAAAAAAAAGGAAATGAAAAGTCACTAAAGGAAGTCAACCAGCGTAGCAAGAGAACATCCAAATAATTTTTTTTTTATAAAAAATAACATCAAAAGAATTGCAAAAAAAAAGGTTGAAAATCAATTTTCCCCTGTCTAACTTCAAGAAAGTGATTATAGCACCATAATCAGCCAAAAGAAAATTGAGGAAAAAAACGTTTCAAATTTCTTTTTGAAGCAATTAAAAGAAAAACTGAATTATAGCACCAAAATCAGCCGAAAAGAATACCGTGAAAAACAACTGAAAATTCTTTTTGGACTCTCTACTTCGAAACCAAATACAAAAAACTAACAAGGAAGTGAATTATAGTATCATAATTTCTTTACCTTTCTCCTCTTCTGTTGTTGTTCTTGTGGAGAAGAAAATGAGAGAAATGAGAGTATGTAGGATCAAATATAGAGAGAGAAAACTCAACAAACATATGCTGAATTGCCGTACTGCCAATTGAGTCTTGGGAAGAATTATCAGTCGTTGGATCTAATTTTGTTTGGAAAGTTAAATATCGACGGCTCTCCATCATTTATGCATCACGTTTCAATAGCTGCTTGACTTGTTCTTACTTTGGTCCCCTACTAAACTAAAACACCAAACTAATAAGTATAATTATTTTCCCTCAACCAAAACAATAAAGATATAGAAAACTTGTAAAATTCATATTCCAACTTTTCAATTTTGAATTTTGAAGTCTAATTTCATATTAAATATAAAATATACTAATAGTATAAAAAATTATTTACACTGCCAGTATATATAATTTAAATTTAGTTACAAATATAACTCCTCTTTTGATATTGAATTTCTAGCTAGGAGTGCTATTACACTTCAAATAAACTAAAATATACCATAAAAAATTCTCTCTCTAAAAATCTCTTTGAGCGCATGTTAAGCAAGGACTGCTAACCTACGCTGCTAGAGATGGCTAGACAGTAGAAGAGGAACTCCATAGCTAAGGTGAAGAACACGGAAGAGGATGAGAAGGCCGAAGAAGAAGATGGTAGGCTGGTTACACCAGAAACAGGGATTACCCAAACCCTTGGGTCGGTGCAATTGTTCCATTGGATGAAAGGCATGGGTAGTGCACCAACGATTCTGCATGGACAGGACAAGAAGGAATTGACGGAGCCAGTGAAAAATCAAGCTCTGGTAGCTTAAATTGAAGAGTCACCTGCAGATCCAGCACTTAATGAAGCTGATATGGCGACGGCAGCAAGGAAGCTAACCTTCTCATCAAGCCTAGAAACCAACGTTAACTGAGATAGTCCAAGGTAATAGATCTGTGCAGCAAGGATTAAAGTTGAATTACTATCCCCCACTTATCAAGGATGGAAGAAAAATTTGTTAGATTAAACCATATAGAAGTGGAGGAACAGAGTAGAAGATGGAGCACATGTTTAATTGGCTATGTCATAGGTGGATCCCCTCAGTTCAAGGAGATGTTGAAATTTTTTATGGGGTATGGCAGTTTGTTACGACCCCACAGGTATTAATCCATGACGAAGGTTATTTCATCTTCAAATTTGAATCTGACGAGGATAGAGATGCAATACTGTAAAATGGTCCATACACCTTTAACAATAGACCAATGATTTTGAAGAAATGGGATCCAGATTTCCAAATGAGCAAGGAGAGTACAAAAAATATCCCAGTATGGGTTAATTTCCCTGGATTGCCTATAAAATACTGGACAGTGGAGAATTTAGGAAGAATTGCGAGCTCAATTGGGAATCCTATCTGTACTGACAAATTAACAGCTCAGGAAGCAAGGATATCTTATGCCCGCATGTTGATAGAAATGGATGTGTCTCAACCATTGCCTGAGACAATATTGATAGAAACAGCTGAGGGCAAAAATAGGGAGCAAAGATTAAGCTATGATTGGCAGCCTACTTTCTGTCAAGAATGCCTAGTAATTGGTCATGGGACAGGGGAATGTAGAGCTCCAGCAGAGGGGATGAAGTAACCTGGTCCTATTCCTAAAGGTCAGAGAGAAAACCAGCAAAGAAGGGGAAGGAAACCACTCACTAAGTAGATTGCCAAACCTAAGCCAGCTGTGGAAGTACAGGATCAAAAAGTTAGCAAAGAACAAGTGACTACAACAATACAAGAAGTAGTTACTACAGGGAGTGAGCATAAAGACAAAGAAGAGTTCCAGGTAGCCAAATCAAAAGGGAAACAGGTGCAGAGTCCAAAGGTGACAACATCAATAAGGAAGGGTATGACTGAAGAGGCAATTGAAAATTTCCTACATCAAAACAGATTTAAGGCACTAAGAATTCAGGAAGGGGAGGATGTTAGCCTAGCATCTAAAGAAGGAAGAGTACCTCTTGCCCATCCCCCATGATTATTAGCTCTTGGAATATTAGAGGGCTAAATAAGCCCTATAAGCAGAAAAAACTCAAGGCCTTTCTGCTGAAAAATAAAATAACTGTCTTAGGATGCCTTGAGACAAAAGTAAAGATAAAGAATGAGAAAAAGGTTAGAAGAAAATTTGGGGATTGGGAAATATTTTCAAACTACTCATATGACCCTAACGGACGAATATGGATATTGTGGAAGGCACAACAAGTAGACATAACCATAATACAAGCTGGAGCTCAAATGGTGCACTGTGAAGTCAAAGACAAGAACTCAACATTCCACTGTTGGTTAACTTTTATTTATGGATATAACACAATTGCAGAAAGGCAGGAAATATGGAAACAGGTGAGATAGATTAATAGTACTATGGTGGAGGCTTGGCTTGTGCTAGGAGATTTTAATACTATGCTTTCTGATAGAATCAATGGGAATCCTGTCAGTCAAAGTGAGGCGATAGACTTTCAAACTTGTGTTGAGGATACAAGTCTGGGACTGCTGAATAGAAAGGGGTGCCAATGGTCATGGTGCAATAAAAGGGATGCTGCTGATAGAATATATAGCAACATTGATTGTAGGGGTGTGCATTCGATTTATCAATTCGATTTTGACCCTTATCGATAATTACTTATCGATTATCGATTCGTACATATGCTTATCGTTATCGTTTCAATAAGGTTTCGATTTTTTCGATTTCGATTTATCGATTTTGGGGGCTTATCGATTCGGTTATCCATTACACCAATAAGAAAATTTGCGGGATTCCAAGGAAAGTATATCGCTATAAACGCGCCTAACTAATATGGACAAAAAGAAGCTAAAATAAGACGAACACCATTTATAATATAAAAATTGTGTCAACAAGCACATGCAACAAAACTAAAGTAAGGGATCAAATGTATGCCACCAACACTCCAACGGTATAAAAAACAAAACAAAAGAAAACACATCCTCACGGCTAATTCTGTTTTCCATTAATTTGAACTTCATTCCCTTGATCTTTAAATATGATCATTCCTTAAATGTGGTAGAGAAAATAATAGGGTAAGGGACTTAGGGTAAAGGAAATGGTATAGATTAGGGAAAATAATATTGTATAGCCGCTTTCAAAATAGTAGCGGAATATATACATTCTGTATGTTATATTAATCTATACAAATAGGTAATTACTCATTTAACAAGTGTCTACAGTCTAGGGGTGTGCATTCCATTTATCGTTTCAATAAGGTTTCGATTTTTTCCATTTCGATTTTGATAACAAATAATCGATTCGATTTATCGATAAACCGATTCGAATGCACACCCCTAATTGATTGGGCCCTAGGGAATCCCTACTGGTTCATGAAGTATAACAACATAGAGGCAACTTATGAGAATTATGGGGTTTCTAATCATTTACCCATACTATTGTGCACTGAGGTCAAAAGAAACTATTTGCCTAAACCATTTAGGCTTCTTATTGTGCTTATGCAGGAGGATGAATTTAACATGATGGTTCAAGAGGTGTGGAGCCAAAAAATCACTGGATATGGTATGTACTCAGTATGGCAGAAGTTGCAGACTCTAGGGAGCAAAGCAAAAGGGATGAATCAAGCTTTCAACTCAGTGGATAAAAGACTTGAGAACCTAAATGATCAACTGCAACAAGTACAAAAGGAGATAGATGATGATTTATTCAATAGATCACTGATCCTGAAGGAGAAAGAACTATTACTACAAGTAGAAAAATGGGAAGGTATTCAAGAGAAGGTATATAGGCAAAAATAAGGGGCCATGCAGATCGTAGCAGGAGACTCTAATACAAGATTTTTCTATGCTCATCTAAAAGCAAGGCAGGCTAGAAATAGAGTCTCTACCATCTGTAATGACCTTGGGCATAGGCTAACTGACCCCCGGCTGGTAGAACAAGAGTTCATATCTTTTTTTGAAGGCTTGCTGGGAACAAGGGCTATTGAATTACCCTGCATTGATGTGAATATTGCCAGGAATGGACCTTGTTTGGATAGAGAACAACAACAACAACTTGTCAAGAGTGTTTCTAATATAGAGATTCTGCAAGAACTTAAAGGTATTCCAAATGATAAAGCACCTGGCATTGATGGATTTTCAGTTGAGTTCTTTAAGAAATACTGGCATATAGTGGGAGAGGATGTTATAGAGGCAATCAAGGAGTTCTTTAAATCAGGGAAACTACTGAAGAATATCAGCAGTACTACTATTACATTGGTGCCAAAGGTGTCCAGCCCTTCATATATAAAGGAATTTCGGCCTATAGCATGCTGCACTACTATCTATAAGCTCATTGCCAGAATCCTTACATCAAGATTAAAAACAGTGGTGGACCTTATAGTTGGACCTGCTCAGTCAGCTTTCATAGAAGGGAGAAGTATTCTGGATAATGTGATTATTGCTCATGAATTGGTTAAGGGATATAACAAAAAAGGAGTCTCTCCCAGGTGCATTATAAAAGTGGACATAAGGAAGGCCTATGATTCAGTTGAATGGCCTTTCTTAGAAATGGTTTTACATGAATATGGTTTTCCAAATAAGATGGTAAGGTGGATTATGGAGTGTGTAACCAATGTGAACTACTCTATACTGATAAATGGTGGGCTTACTAATAGATTTCAAGCAAATAAAGGACCGAGGCAAGGGGATCCCATGTCCCCATACCCGTTTGTCCTAGTGATGGAGTATCTGAGTAGAACATTGAAGACTCTTAAAGACATCCCAGACTTCAATTTCCACCCAAAATGTGCCAAATTAAACCTGACTCATATTTGTTTTGCAGATGATCTGATTATGTGCTGTAGAGCTGATAAAATCTCTATCCAACTACTGCTGGAAAAATTCAATCATTTCTCAAAGGTGACAAGACTCATGGCTAACTTAGAGAAAAGTTCTATCTATATAGCTGGAGTTACTCAGGATTTCAAAGACATGATTAGCACTGACTATCAGTTCAAGCTGCTCAAATACCTGGGAGTTCCTTTATCCTCAAGGACCCTATCTATCCAGCAATGTATGCCATTAGTGGAGAAGATCACCAACAGAATAAAATGCTGGACCTCAAATT